TCCCAACGTTCTCCAAGGATCTTGGAGACCTCGAGAAAGGGGATGGAGAAACCAACCCAAAAGTTGTCCCAACGTTCTCCAAGGATCTTGGAGACCTCAACAAAGAGGATGGAGAAACAAACCAACCCAAAAGTTGGCCCAGCGTTCTCCAAGGATCTTGGAACCCTCAACAAAGAGGATGGAGAAACCAACCCAACCCAAATATCTGTTGGATGATAAAGAACCAAAAGAAACAAACAAAAAAACCCACCCACAGTAACAAACCAACTCAGGGGACAAAAAAAAAGGTCCATGGCCAAAAAAATTGCCCAAGAAGAACCAAATTTATTAAGTTGTCAACCCAACGTTGTTACGTTGAAGCCCAGGTCTTCTTCATGAACTTTGGATTAATCAAACAACAGCAGCTTGGACCTAAAAGCCATTTAGATAGAACCCAAAATGGAGACGTAGAAGGTGGTGGAGGCGTTGAAGGTGGTGGTGGAGGAGGCGTTGAAGGTGGTGGTGGAGGAGGCGTTGAAGGTGGTGGTGGAGGAGGCGTTGAAGGTGGTGGTGGAGGAGGCGTTGAAGGTGGTGGTGGAGGAGGCGTTGAAGGTGGTGGTGGAGGAGGCGTTGAAGGTGGTGGTGGAGGAGGCGTTGAAGGTGGTGGTGGGCGTTGAAGGTGGTGGTAAGACCATAAACTGAGGTAGAAATGACTCCAAGACCTCAAAAAAAATAGTTGAGGAACATCAAAGGAGCTTTTCCAATCACTGTGGAGGAAACAGCAGCTTTGAGGGGACCCCACCAAGTCCATCAATTCTTGGGGGATAATTTGATGGTGGAGAGGAGGACGGAGAAGTAGGGGAAGACCTTCTCTCCACTGAAGGAGGCCACGGAGAAGGTGAAGATACGTTGACGGCTGCCGACGGCGTAGAAGGAGACATGTCCCACCTCATAATCCAGGTAGACCCCGATTTCTCCATTGAGAAGTGGGACCAAAGTGTTGGAAGGAGTCGTGAGGGCCACACAAAGTTCATCGTACTTCTGCAAACCCCAGATCTCCGCGTTGGGTTTGAAGAGGACACGACCTTTCCTCTGAACCGATTCACGGGCCACACCAACGGCCCAGAAACGTCCGTTGACCTCCACCTCCCAGTAGTGACGACCTGAGG